CGAATTTTATATCGTCTGGCGGAAGTTACAGCCACGAAAGTGTTTTTAAATATTAAACATTTTTTTAAATTTTTTTTAGCAAGAAATGCATCTACATATACATATGCTCTAGGAACATTTCTGCATCAAAAAGGAATTAAAAAAAAAATGAATGTCTCTTACCTTTAGTACCTGCCAGTTAAAGAGCCGCCTACCCAAGAAAGCAGATACGCATACATTCTGAAACACATATAAAAGCATAAACAGACGGCAGCGTTGATCCGGATCAACTCGGGAATTAGCTGCAGTTGATCCGGATTAACTGTTTGAGCTTTAACACCACTTGTTACCTAAATTTGGTAAATTTTAAAATAAAACAGGTCTAGCGGCACTGTGGTCTTCTACTAAATGAAACTATTTTCAAATTAATTGAAACATTATTAAATTAAGTATTAAACATTAAGGAGCATTAAGGAGCAAGACATCAACTAATCTATTAAGGGCCAGTAGCTCTATGCCTGGTGAACACTAACTAAAGGTTAAACATCGTTATCGACGTTATCGACTACCTATTATATGTTATGAAACACTAAGAGCCGGTTTCTCAAAGCCTGGTTGACACTAATCGCAGATTAAACATCGTTATCGACTATACCAACACCATGTTATATGCATGGAGTCGAAAACGTAGATAACGATGTTAATCGATGATTAGTGTCAACCAGATTTTGAGCAACCGGCCCTAACACTGGCTAACACTATCTCCCAGTTACAAATCGTTATCGACGTTATCGACACCCAGCATATAACATGTGATCGATAAAGCAGTCTATGCGCTTAACTGAAGGATGTATGTACCTTCAGTTGGCGTTAACTAGACATGGTGGAAGCGGCCCTTAGTCCATATACTTTCTTTATACCGTTCGCTGTGATTCAAAACCGATGCATACCAAACTTCGATAAGCCCAGAAATTCAAAAGTGTATTGACTCTAATTTGTTTTCAAGTCGGTTTTTTATTTCTCAAATCGGTTACACAACACGTATGTACAGACACGCCATTAATTTGACTTGAAGTGAAAATAGGTTGCTTTGTACAGTCTGTTTTAAATTCTAATTAGCATTTTAATAAATTTTAATTATTGTTCCCTTTCATTTCGGCAAATAAATTACTACACGGTTAAAAATTTCGGTTTTAGTTTTAAACTTTTTGGACTACATATATGACCAAACTAAATTCAGTTTAAAATAAAAACCTTCCATGTTTAAAAAAGAGAGCTCATATGTTGGGTTTAGAATTTCAACATTTCGGCTTATATATAAATAACAATAAAAAATAAAAGGTCCGATGGGGATTGAACCCGGACAGCCTTGGTAGCAACCAATTGTATCAAGCATCTTTGCACACTCAGCTACAGCCACGCATGTAAATGTGCTTTCATATGTTGAGTTTGAATCAACACCACAATTCGCTGTGCANCTATTTCGGTTTAGATTTTAAACCAAATTTTCTACATATGAAACCTAGAAACTAGAATTAAAACATTTTGGTTTGCTAAAATTTAAACCAGAATATATTAAAAATTTATTAAAACTATTGACTGGTTTAAAAAGTAGACTATAAAAGATTAAAAAAGGCAGTAGTCCCAGCGCAGTTTGAAAATTAAACCCAAATTTTTGACCGTGTTGCCGTATGTATTTGAGCCAATTTTGCGTTCAATATATTTTCTATGAAGTCTTAAAAAGTCACCTACTTTTTTCTGACTTTTTATGCTGCTACAGCTTTTTTGATGCTTTTGCGAGTGTGCGTGTTGCAATAGATCAGCTCTTCCTGATTTGGCTTTTAATGTGCATTTGCAAGCATTGTAATAAGCCTCGTAACCACAAGTGTTTACAAAACCAGCTTTTGAACGCGGGATCCTTAGTCCAAGAATCATATTTAAATCAGCTGCGTCCAAAGAATAAATATCTTTTGAAGAAGCAAAATAATTCAAAATCAGTTCTACTTACAAGAATTGGTAATGGAGAAAAATTACTGGGAAGTTAAAAAACGTAATTTTTTACACAAAAACGTCCGAACGTCAACAGGATACAAAAAACGGCCAAATGACGTTAAAAACGTCAACCTGGCAACACTGCCTTCGCGTGCAGTGGTGGCTGTAGTTGAGTGCGCAAAATTGTTTGCCATAATTTTTTAATGTCCAGAGGTTCAAGGTTCAAATCCCATTTCAGACAGGATGGAAATAAAATATTTTTGTTTGTTTATCTTAATAATGAAAAAGCACCCGTGAAGTGAAAAACGCGTCATTTTAATATGGGTGTACTTGAATTGAATATTTCCATACTAAATATTAAAATTTGTATACTAAAATTTATAACGAGTTGGGTTGTTGCTCTATCATATGCGTATTTTTTTAAATTTAGCACGATTTTTCAATTCTAAATTTTTTTTCTTTCAGTGTATTTATAAATATATGGAGAGATTTCGCAACTTTAATTAAACCAAAACTGCTGTCATAAATAGTCTTGCAAACACACCTGGAATTAATTTTACTTACAAAACAAATTTTTAAAAATCAAATTTCTTCATTTTAGTGAAACATGTTGACAATTACGAAAACTTCATATTTTTTGTTTGTTTTTAATACGAATGAGTTTTGAATTGAAAATAGGGGAATTTTTTAAAGAGTTTGGGGGGAATTAGCCTTAATAGAGTTGGCATCCCTGGTATATATGTACATAGAAATATACTAGCCAGAAGTGCTATTGCTTTATAAAAAAGAGAACCATTTNACAACTTTAATTAAACAAAAACTGCTGTCATAAATAGGCTTGCAAACACACCTGGAATTAATTTTACTTACAAAACAAATTTTTAAAAATCAAATTTCTTCATATGTTGACAATTACGAAAACTTCATATTTTTTGTTTGTTTTTAATACGAATGAGTTTTGAATTGAAAATGGGGGAATTTTTTAAAGAGTTTGGGGGGAATTAGCCTTAATAGAGTTGGCATCCCTAGTATATATGTACATAGAAATATACTAGCCAGAAGTGCTATTGCTTTATAAAAAAGAGAACCGTTTTGAAATATGAGTGTTTTTACTCATTAGAAAATAATTTATGCAATCTCACATACGCGGTTTTGCATTGTGTTGATACGCGGTTTTGTACTTTAANCATCTCACACACGCGGTTTTGCATTTTGTTGATACGCGATTTTGTACTTTAAACGACGATATACATACATAAATACCTATGAGTTCTCTGTAAAATATATTTTATTTTATCTAATCAATAAAACACTTTTACGACTCGACAAAAGTTCGGCAACTTTAAAAGTCATAAATAACTTCAACACGCTTTCACTTTTATGATTTATTTCAGCACATATTTACTCAATTGGTTATAAGCACAAACACAATTACATATCCTCGTTCAAGATGTATGTGTTTGTATATGGACGAACGGGAATAAATATGTATATACATACATATAATAATTCTATGATATTTTATGAACACAAATCCAAGCTTTGGTTAACGTGCATCCTTAGGGCCGTTTGCACCATGTCTAGTTAATTCTAACTCCCAGTTAAANTATAAATATGTATATACATACATATAATAATTCTATGATATTTTATGAACACAAATCCAAGCTTTGGTTAACGTGCATCCTTAGTAGTCTAAACTAAATAATGCCAAAATAAACTATGTAGTATGCCAGGGCGTATGAGCATCATCGCAGTCGGCTACATTTCTTTCCTATAACAATGCCTTTTAGGTTCTACTGTATCAACTTTTTGGCTAAAATATCAAGGCTAGAAATACATATGCGGGTTCTCGGACACCGTGCTAAAAGAAATCTGTTTTTTCTGGTCAAATGGATTAGCTCAATTTGATATCAGATATGTCCACTAGAGTCGTCCAAGTTTTGTATGGGGGATACATTTTTTCAGCTAATTTAAATTTGTTATGACCAGGGAACGGATTTGATGGAAATTGCCTTTTTTTTCTGCTAAAGAGATAAAGTATATTCGATTAAGAATGTCCACATATACACATTTGAAGTTGCCTTTTTTGCCTTTTCTAGCCTTAATTGTAAAGGGCAAGGAGAAAGGCCTTATTCCGGATAATATGAAAGTTTAAACGTTTCACATTAAAATTGGGTGCCACTGGCATCAACCCACGTCGGGCGNATGTACACATTTGATGTTGCCTTTTTTGCCTTTTCTACCCTTAATTGTAAAGGGCACGGAGAAAGGCCTTATTCCGGATAATATGAAAGTTTAAACGTTTCACATTAAAATTGGGTGCCACTGGCATCAACCCACGTCGGGCCCATGTGTAGTACATTCAAGGCTTTTCTTCGCGAAAATCGAATGAAAAAAGCTGCCAGAAAACTTCAAAATACATCTTGTGGTTCAACTATGGAGATTAAAGTTTTGTGAGTTAATAACTTGAAAAGACGGTTGGCGAATTGATGAAACAAAGTTTTTCTGAAAGTCTGGATTGTATGTATGTAGAAAAGTAATTTCTCAGATTTCCTAGGTTGGCGATTTTAAGCATTTTTCAATATAAATTCAATTTATACCATCAATAGGCCTTTCTGCGGTTTTAGGGTACGAGGNTCAATATAAATTCAATTCAATTTATACCATCAATAGGCCTTTCTGCGGTTTTAGGGTACGAGGAGTCTGAATCTGGAATTCCTTTTGTACCAAAAACGGCTGTTGGGTGCGATTTAGTGCAAAAAAAATTAAGGAACAATGTTTAGAAACTATGTTGAGAAACATTATTTGCACTTTTACTTCATTTTCTGCTTCCTTGTACCCCAAATACCCTAGAAGTCTTCTTGATGGTTTATGAAGAGAATAACTTAAATGTATAGTGAACACATATGTATCTCCCCAGCACGTTATCGCTTTCTAAAAATGGATTGCCACAAAACAAAACATTTTATGCACACACTACAATAGTATTAGCTACACAAATACAATTAAATTGTTTAATTACTCACCGTTGTCATGGACGTCGTACGCTTTATTCTGCTGCTGCTGCTCCTCCTCCTCCTCCTCCAATTCGACAATATTCAAGTTCTCCTCCTCCTGATCGAACATTTGCTCGTCCGATTGCTCTGCAGGGAATACGAACTCTGTATCTTCATTCGATGCTTGCGATGAAACGATCTGATAAGTTGGAGGTGTCAAATCTGCACCCGGGCCGCCGGCAGCGACGGGAATACCAAGTCCCGGGTAGGCTGGCACACCACCACCCCCACCATCACCATTGGGCCCAACGGCAGGCTGATGAGCCTGATGGCCTTGCTGTTGATGGTGTTCATGTTGATGTTGTTGTTGTTGTTGTTGTTCTTGTTGCTGCTGCTGTTGTTGTTGTTGTTCCAATAGCAATTGTTGTTGCTGTTTCTGTTGCTGCAATTGTGTAGCGGATTTCGGCTTGGCTGCGGATACCAAATTATTGCCGCATGGAAGTAAAATGGATGTGCATAAGATGAAGGCGTAGAAGTAGAAGAGCACCTGCATTTGACTACAACGCCATGAGATGGCTAAAAATGGCTTGCGATCGAATGTGGTGGTGGTGGTAGCAGCTGTTAGCTGTTGCGGCTGCGACGCGGTTGAACGATGACAACCCCCACGAGTGCGCAGAGTATTTGATGTAGGCGGATTTGCAGTGGCAAGAAGGCTGACAACAGCTTTGGTTGCCGTCTTCTCCTCCATAGCAGCGTAGCGCCTTTGGGCAGCATTTTGTGGCAACGATTGGCAATTGGTGTTCACTTTTACTGCACATTTTAATAGCGAGTCATTCACTGATTTCAGTTCAGATTCGGAGTAAGATGCGAAAATGCTTATCTCAGTTGCGCTCACTACTGCGTGCTGCTGCTCCACTTTAGAGGCTTCAATGTGTAAATTTAGATTTTTTGAAGTCGATTTGTTTGGGTTATTGTTATTGTTGTTGGCGATGTTGGTGGTGGTGGTTTTGGTTGTTGAAGTGGTGCTGGTGGTGCTGGTAGTGGTTGTGTTTACTATTGGCTTTTTATTCACTTCACAATCAAATTCATTCACTAATCTGGCAACTCTATTTACATTCCCGACTATTAACGATAACAACACCGATAACAAGTATAGCAATGGATCACGTTTGGTTGCGCGATCGCGCGACACTCTTTCAAGGTATGCGGCTAGCCACAGCAACGCACGGCACATGGTGGCAGTAAATCCACTGCCAGCCACAGCGCTGCTACGCGCGCGTTCACCTGCAACAACAACAGGGCTTGGTGGCCTTAGACGTCCGCGGCGCCGCCGACTATTGAAATCTATCGTCTTTTTAGTATTTTGTTGCTGCGACCCGATTGACGGCAGCGATACCATTGCCGTTGGGATTGCGGATGCCAACGCCGGCACTTCAAACATTTCTGCAATGTTAATGCTTTGAGTGGTTTTTGTTTTAGCGGTTGTGGTTGTTGTAGTTTTAAAGGTTGTTGTTGTTGTTGTGGTTGCTTTCGTTTCTGTAGCTGCGTTATGCTGTACGCAGCCACTCCGTTCAATACTAGTTACTGCAACAGCAACGCTTGGTGGCGTAGGCAGCTTGGTTTCATCAGCATGTTGCGGCAGCATGTTGCAAAGCACATGTTTATTGCCATTAGTATTTGCGCACACATTTACAGCTGTGATCGTTGCTGATCGCGCGCCACCAGCTTCAAACACATTTCCTAGCGCAACATCTGTGTCTTTTATTTCTGCAACATGTGTCCTAGCATTATTTTCAGCAAATAGTGTTACGTCTGCAATGTTGCTGCTGGAGTCGCGCGTCGTGCCGTCAGTTACAGCATTCAGCATGTATTTAGCTGTTATCCCAGCGTCGTTTGCATTTCGTTGCTGGATCGGCAAGTTTGCAATTGGTTCTGGTACGGTTTTGTTAATTTGCTGTTCTTGTGTGGCAACATGCTGCCCAGCTGTGCGTTCAATGGCTTGCCAAGTTATGTTTAAAGCTTTATTAAGCCAGTTAACTGTGTGAATTTGTTGCTCATAGCCTACTCTGTCAGCTGCTGCTACTGCTGCTGCTTGTTGTGCTGTATCATCGCAGTGCAGCTTTGTGCTCTGTGTTCGGTTTTGCTCGTCCAATATTTCCCAACATTGTCGTTGCTGCAACATTGATTCAGTTGCGAGTGGCATGAAGAGTTAAGTTCTATGTACTAGATTTTGGTAGCGAAATTTCACCGATGAGAGGTTGAGTTCTTACAATATTTCTTAATATGTAAATTTTTAAATATTTTCCAGTATTTTTATAAATACTTTATATATCCAATTTGGTATACTATGTTGCTGATAAACCGTTGTAATCGTTGTTTATTGAATTGTGTGCCTTAAAGAGCTATTTTTTAATTACCATGCATTTATAGATTTTCCTATTTTAAAGAAATATTTTTTCTATTGGTTTTTGAATTGCTATGCCTTTGAGGAATTTTTAGTTTTATATTGTATTTTTGCTGATTTTCTTTATTTGCTTTACGTTTATAGATTTTTTATTTATAACTCTTTTGCTGATTTTTTTTTTCTAAATTGCCATGTATTTTATCTGTAGAAATATTTTGCTGTTAAATTTCTCTAGTTAATAGTTTGCTTTTTTACAAAGAATTTGTGTTGATTTGTATTAATTTGCAATTCTTTTGTTTATTTTGTTTGCTTGCGAATATTTTTTCAAATGTGTTTTAGCAAATTTGGGTAGTAGAGCAGCCAGGAAGTATGCACTGTTATTCGGAATAAATTTTCTATGCTTAGCAAAGGGATGGCGATGGTTATTGGTATGTAGCAGCAATTTTTTCTCGCAGTTTGTTTAAATATGGCATGCGGACAGAATTTTTAAAATTGTTTGCAGAATTTTTTTATATTTAATTTTATTGCAGAACTTCTTAATTTTAAGTTTTTAGTATGCAGTAACAGTAGTCTCTAAATTTTTGCTACGCAGCAATTTGGTAATTGGTTTTTTTGTGCAGCGCATTTTCTATTTTTTTGTTTTTTGGTTGGCATGGAATAGTATTTGCAATATGTAATTGTATATTCGGTATACAGCGCTTTTTTTAATTTTTTACCCTTTTTTTAAATTTTTTAACTAAAATTTTTTATATTATAATTGCAGTTAGTATACAATTTGCCTGGTTTGGTATGAAAGATAACAAAAGCTAATTGTAGCTAGTTATAAACGAATTTTTTGATACTTTTTTAAATTTTTTTTTTTAGGTTAGTAGAAACAGTACAAGCTCACAAATTAGAAACACTTTGTAATTAAGATGATTAATTTTCAAACTGTTTTAATTTCTGCTTTTTCCAACATTAGAGTGACGATCTGGACGACTGGCTTGTACTCTTTTATTAAGGTTATTTTAAATTTCAATCCCTTGCCTCAAATTAGGTTTATTTTTTTTATTTTAAGACGACATTTTTCACGAACCACTATTACTTTATACCGCTTTGCGAACCCAACACAACATACAGTAATTAAAAAAAAAAAATAGAGACACTACATATTTACCAGTTTTGACTATTTTTCTTTTGCCTGTTTTTTGTTTATATTTTTTTTTTAATAAAAATGCAGCTCATTATCTAAAAAAAAAAGCCATAAATCTCATACTTACAAAATATTACAAGCACAACAACCTTTTTATTCAACTTTTTTACAAAAATAGTTGTATAGACAATTAAATTCCTAATAAAGTGCAATTTTCAAGTGGCTAGGAATTCGCGTTGACTTTTTATAATATTTTTTTTGCCGATGGTGTTGTTATTCTCTTTCATACAAAACAAAATAGTCGAACAATGTTTTGTTTGTCGAAAATCAACCCGAATTTTTAACCAAAGGACAAGTTTCAAGCACCTTATTAAGATAGAATTTAAGGGGCTATAAAACTGTATGTTTATAAAAAAAATAATAATAGCTATTTTGTAAATATAATACAAATTAAAGGAACAACAGAAAACTTGAAGCTTAAAATTTATTAGAATAGAGTTAAATGGGTTATACAAATATTTTTATAAAAAAATAATAAAAACTTCCCAAAAAATAAAAATTAAATTAAAGAAACAAAAGACAAATAGTCAAACTTGGTCAAAATGTAAACTTTAAAAATGATTGCTGAAACCATTTGGTTCTAATAACTGGAATACTCTAATTCTTCAGAGCTCTAATATGTGAGCTTCTACTGTATTTATTTCAATTTATTGATACATATATGGAATATAAATCTTATGCTTTTATGATCATTATGTAGCAGAAATTTTATATTTGCTTTTTCAGAATATATTTTTGATACTTTGCCAAATTATTTAAAATTCAAAAGCTCTTTGAATTTTAATGACGTATCTTTTCTTATGGTTCTTGAAATAATCAAATATTTTTTGAAAATTTTTGAAAAAAAATTTTAAATTTTTGGAAATTTGTGTTTTTTTTTAGGTTTCGATGCGCAGGGTTTCATCGTTATTTGAATTATTATTGTTGATTTGGCGTTTATGTTTTCATACATTTCTTACATTATTCAAAATATGTATATTTTTTCACATTTATTTCGATGTCGTTTCAGAAAAAATATCGATTTTGCATACTTTAAAATTTTCGGTGTCACTTTACTTTTAAATTCATATTTTATTTCCGCAAATTTGCCTTTTTTTCAAAAAATAATCTCACTTTTTTGCCAACTATCAAATTTTTCATGTCACTTCACATTTAAATATTTTATTTTCACAAATTTCTAAATAAATTTCAGTTTTATCGCGCATTTTAATAACTGAATAAAAATTTGTTTCTTTGTTTTTGTAATTCATGACATTTTGTATGTTCTTGTTATACAAGAAATTTTACCAGAAACCAGAGTATACCTTACCAAAGGTCTTCGACGTGCTAAGTGCATATCCGGGGTCGTAGTTGGTATGGTAGGTAGCTCAGACTTTCGAGATAGTTTAACAGAAAAGTGCAAAAAACGAAATTTTTGATTATATTTCAGGTTATGTAGAATATCGATTTCTTAAAAAAAAACTATACACAGCATCTTAAAGTACTAGCATTTATTCTTTTAGCTGCCGTCCGGTTTTCTTCAATATCATTTTTCTCGTCATGAATAAAACTTCAAAAGGTTTTTATAAATTAAGGGCCGTTTTCTCAAGTAAGTTTTAAAATTTATCTGCCCATCAACCACATTTTTTCTGAACAAAACTTCTCGACGAAACAAAGACTTGTTACTGCTTTGAGATGCTGTGTAGGATTTATCTTTGAGAAAACTGAAATAAATCGCGATGCTAAATAACCTAAAACATAGGCCGATATCTCGTGTATGTACATTTATGTTAATAAATCTCGAAAAGTGGAGCCGCCAGAGCAGTTAAGACACCGAATTTGGATTCAGCACGTCGACATTTGTTTGGAAAAATTACAAAGAAAACACATGTTTTTAATATTTTTCATTAACGACAATTATATAACGTTCTCTAGTAATTTATTCTCCTCCACAGTTTTCCACAAGGAATGAAATCCGCAACATTTAAATTCAGGCCTCTACTGTGTACAGGCATTTCGTTGCTCACACTTTGTATATTTTTAGGAGCGTCGGCTGAATTATTAAGCCTGCAAACGAGTTGCTGCGTATAATTTAGTTTAAGACTTTTTAAAAACAAATAACTAACATCCTTTTAGGCATAACTCAAATATTGTTGCATACTTTTAGCGATTGCAGTGGAAATTCCCGCTTTTGTCTTGCAAATCACTATTCCAGCACCTTCACTATTTTATTCATATCTGCTAGACAAACTCACACCCACACTATATGTATGTAGCTCACTGCTCGCTAGATGGCAGCTAACACACCTGCGTACTCAATATTTCTGTGTAGTTTGTCACTGCGTTCTGCGGCTTCTAGCAAAAGTCGCTAAAAAATTATTTTCAATTACAAAAATACACGCTTGCACATAGGTATGCATGAATGTCGGCCTCGTAGCTGGATAAAGTATTCGGCAGTCCGCTACAAAGTATGCTACATATTTTTATTAAAAATTTTTTAAACTTTTATTTTTACCTTTTTTCACCGTTGCGTGGCGTCGCAAGCGTATACGGCATACAGCGGTTATACATATACCGCCCGCTGTGTTCTAGGTACACTGCTGTCGCTTTGCACCGACAAGCGTACAAACACACACACACACAAACGCAGCACTTCTCAAAACTCACTTTACTTTAGCAACACATTTATATTTAACTTTTACTTTAAAAAAAAAACAAAATTGTGCTTGCTAAATTTTTTTAATTTTTTCCTTATTTTTACTCGTAAGGTGTGCAGCCACGCAGCGCAGCGCCCGTTTTTTTTTCTTTCTTAGAGGCGTTATGCAAAATGCCACAGACACAGTTATATGTTTGCGTTATTTTTAGCTGCGTTGGCTTATTTCTTGTTTTCTTGCATCACTTTGCAAATCGTTAAGAATTTTCCACAAAATTCACTTTAATATGTATTTTCTTTGAAGTATTTAATTTTTTTTCTTGCACTATTTCACTTGCAACATTTTTTTCACCAGCACGCTGCTGTGCACGGCTTTACCGTTTAGACGTTCCACACTGTTCGCGTTCTCATATTGTAGTGTCACGTCGTGTAGTGCTCAGTGCTGCTGTTGGTCGGCCGTTTGGCTTGGCTGGCAGTTTGCATGCAATATTCGATTATAGCATAGTTTACGGCGCAGCTGATGCGGCACATGCAGGTGTATGCGCGCGCTCTCTCTCGATCTCTCTCAAACGGCGTTCGGCTACTTGGGTGGGAGGCAGAGGCATTGCACGTTTTTTAACTACTACCGGCCGTAGCTTTTTATGGGAGCTTTCCGTTGGAAGGCATCACATGGCAGCTTTGTTCTCGGCTTGTTGAGTAATTGCGACGTTGGTTCTTTGGGAGCATTTTTCTGAACTCTGGTTATTACTCAATGCATAAATTGTTTCCGTTGTTGTTTGAGTGGTTCGTTTGTTCGTTAGAGCATTAAAATAGTCCGTTAAGTTTGAAAAGTTCATCAGAATTGTTTCTGAAAATAAATAATTTTTACAAATTATTAAAATGTTTATTTGCAAATATGTATTATATTTTTAAATAAACATATGCAGTGGCTAGCATTGGCACTCAAATTGTTTGGCTGTTAGTGCCCAAAGGTATGCTATATCCTCAATAATACAAATATACGCACACAGCTGCATATGCGATTTTTCGCACTTCTCAAATATCCCTATCAAAATATACTATCTAAAGTTCAAGGAGATATAAATAGCTGCAAAACTGGTAGTAAACCAATGCCTCCTATAGTCAACTGGTGTTCTAATCAGGTTCCCAGCATTTAATCAAAAAAGTTGACTGCCATAGGAAGGATAGTACTTCAATGTAATATAAATATACTGAAGTCAAACCACTAAGCGCAACTATGCGAAGTGAGATGATTTTGGTCTTATAGCATAGACAGATGGCAACGTCAATGCTGATTAACGGCAAAGTTGCTCTGATCAAAATCATACACTGAGAGATGGCAGTATTGCGGGTTTAGCGAGCCGCAAGATCATAAGTTCGAATCACATGGCCAGAAAAATTGGTTTAAAATTTTTTAAGGTGCTTCAATTATTTCATTTTCTTAAATGTAATTATATTTGCAGTCGCCATACAGTTAATTTCAGTAGGATTCGTCAGTTTTGTCATCGAAAACACCCCTGATCCGCATTAACGCAGGAGGGACTGACGTTACCATGTGGTAACACGGAACATATGTTTGAAAAAAAACGTCTGTTTGTGGAACTCAAGTTTTCCAATTAGAAACTAAAGCTATTATTGAAAGCGTAAAGCTTTAAATTTTAAATTCGCAACGATTGCTATTTAGTTGTTAAAAGAAGTTTTTTGTGAGTGGACGTTCAAAAGTGGGTTTTTATTTAAGGAGCAAAAAGTGGAAAAATTGCATCTGGAAGAAGGTAAGTTAAATTGTTGTGTATTTATTGATTAACATGTTCCAGAAATTATAACATCAATCTGAAGTTAAGATACCACAATTTACTACTAGTTACTAATTTTGAGGGTATATACACCTTTTGTCATATTTTTTGGTGTTTTAATGGGCGTGTTACCATATGGTCATGTCAGGAATTACAGGGTACAGGTTTAAAGATGAATTTCAAAACACATGTGCACCTAATTCGCTGCTTATTTTAAGAAAATCTTTGATTAATTCGCCATTTTGTTGCAGAAAATTCACATTAAAAGATATTGCAGACTATTTGGATGAGTTAGACGTAAATGATACATCATTTTGCCAACAAATAGACGGAATTTATATTGAACCACCTAATGAAGATGGAGAACTAAGTGGTGAAGATGATGCAAACGAAGATGAGGGTGAAATTATTGACAATGTATGTCGAAATCAATTAAACGAAGGATGTGAGATTGTGCTAAAGAATGGTGAGCACGTGGACTCTGCGTCAATGGTGAACTCATGTGACGTTGAGGGAAACATTGAAGCAGCACTAGCGGATCTTATAGGTGATGAATCCCATAGTGTAGAACAGCAGCTTTACGAATATGTGAAATCAATATGCCCACGGTCCGTAAGCGCGAAAACTACCAAGGAGAGTACACAAGACAACAAACAAGAGTCATCTGATGAAAATATTCCCAACACTTCTGTATCCAGCAGGCTAAGAAGGGTAGAAGGAATTCCGTCTGAAGAACCTCTTCCGTTAGCAAATAAAAACACAGTGTTTAACTGGTCGAAGGAGTGTAGAAGTGATCCAATGCCTTTATTTCCGGAAGCGAACTACAATGATTGCCGTAGTCTGCAGCCTCACGAGTTGTTTGAATTTTTTTTGATTATGCTTTACTAGAGCATATCGTTCGATGTTCAACATTGTATGCCGCAAAAAAATTTTAAAAACCTGTGCGCAATATCAGTACTCGTGGTAAGTTAGTTGCCTTGTACTTTTTTCTGTTTTAAGGACTTTTATACATGTATGTATTTAAATTCTGTTAGAATTGCGCACGTTTATTGGTATACATTTAATAACCGGCTACAACACCGCTGCTAATGTGAAAATGTACTGGAATATCTCCGAGGGCTTACGCAACGAACTTATTGTACAAACCATGCGGCGAGACCGTTTCAAAGAAATTTGTAAGTGCTTACATTTCGAATCTAACCTGGTTGCGCCTGATGGTAATGAAGACAAATTTTGGAAATTGAGGCCTATGACAGACCACTTAAGGGCCAATATGTTGCAGCACTTCCTTCCATCCCAACAACTGTCTTTTGATGAGAGCATGATTGCATACTATGGTCGGCACGGGTGCAAGCAGTTTTTAAAAGGCAAACCTATCCGTTTCGGCTACAAAGTCTGGTCTTTGTACACTCCGTCAGGATATCTAGTCGATTTCGACATATACCAAGGAAGAAATCCGCGATCAAACACGGAATACGAACAGTGCTTTGGAAAGTGTGCAGCACCTCTCATAAACATGATAAATAATTTTGACGAAAACACAAAGAGTCTACCATTTTC